CCGTTGCCAGGGCACCCAGTGCCAAACAGGCAAAGCCCGGACCCGACCCTTCCCTCGTTTCCCTATCCAGAGCAGAAGAGCCAGCACAAGCCCGAGCGCTGCCGGCAGCCGGCAGAACTGCCTCCCTCCCGTCCCAGCCAGCCCTGCTTTATGCGTACGGTTTGCAAATCTGTATTATTCCCGCACAAGCCAAAAATAATATTAGTCCTCTCCACGCGCATTTCATCCCTAATTATCACTCGAGTCCTTTGCGACACAAAGGCTTTCCCCGGCCGATTTAAGCGCAACGCAGCGCAGATCCACGAGAAAAGTGCTTTACCCTTTCCCGGGAGAAAAGCCGGGGGGGAAGGGGGTGGTGTCTCGCCTTCGAGTGGCTTTAATGGGGAGCCGAGCCCGGTCACCGGCGCCGAACGGGGTCCTCAAGCCGCCAGAGCCGAAAGGCTGTGGCGGGCTCTGGAGCCCCGGGCAGGGTAGGCAGCGTCTTTCAGAGCCATCCCCTCCGGCCGGCAGGACTTACTTTCCCCACAGAGCAATTTAGGAAACAAAACAGCAACCAGCGACCTCCGAGCAATGTTCCCGTGTCCTGCCTCCCCCCCCGGTCCCTCCGCCCCTGCCGCCGGCTCCCCGGGGCTCTCGCCAGTGCCGTTCAGCCCCGGGAGGCTGAAAATGAGCCCCTCCTGTGCCTTTCCGCATGGTTTATGGGTTTCTGGCCATTCTCTCTCGATGTGGAAGCACTGTTTTGGTTGTGAGTCGGCCGTGCATGAAAAGGCTGCGTGTGGCCTTTTTGGCTCCCAGGCCTTCTTTTTTTTTTTTTCTTTTTATAAGAAAGGAAAAAAAAAAAAACCAAGCTTGAAATACCTATGAGCACTATTACCTAGATATGTATTTTTATTAACAACTGTGTCCCTACTCTGGTGGGAGGGACATCAGTCACCAGCCCTGGTGGCACCCCTTTGCAGACAGCAGGCAGTCCCTGCAGGTCGTCTTCCACCGTGTCCAGCAGCCCCGCGGCCGCCCCTCGCATGCGCTCCCCAAGCCGAGAGGAAGGAGAAGCCTTCCCCTGCTCACCAGCAGTTATGCCCCAGCGGAGGATCCGTGCTGGCTGTCAGCAGCGTCTTTGGGGAGCCCGAGCGCCGGCCTCTTTTTTACCGAGTCAGATTTTAGGGGAAAAGCCCCTGTCGCACATGAAAGCTCTGCAGCCACAGCTCCCCGCTGTTAGCTTTCCAAGGAGCATCCCAGCGATTGCGGTCCTCCCCAGCACTACTGGGGACCAGCCGGTACAGAGCTGAGAAAACAGCCGGGGAAAGAGGTGTGGATTGCTCTTCAGACGCCCCGAGGCACCCGAGTCAAAACCCTCAGCCCGCGCCCGGGGCTGTCCCCTCGGGACCACTGGAGCCGGTCGGGCTCCGGGAAGGCCGATGGCCTCGCTGCCGGGGTTGTGGCAGCATCCTTCGGCCCTGGCCTGCCCCGGGCACTGCGGCATCCCGCTCTCTGGCGGTTCCGTGAGTGAGCTCGCCCTCCGGAGGGAGAGGGGGTTTGCGCAGGGATTGCCGGTATTCTCTCCCTCCTTTAAAGAAAATAATAATGAAAGAAATGAAATAATACACATACAAACCATAAGTTACAAAAACGACAAGTACCACCTGTGGATGAGAGTCCGCCCGCTCCCCGGTCCTTCGGCCAGGCACCGGAGCGGTCTCGAAGCGGGGGAACACCGCAGAGCGGTGCACAGGGACGAGCCGGGCCGGGGGTCTCTGGGATGAGCCTCTTCGCCCACCGGCGCCCCCGCTCGCCTCTGGCGTTGGGAGCTCGGCTCTGTCTCAGCCCTGTGCGGGGTGCCCGCGTTAATGGTGTGAGGCTTGGCTGGGACATGTTTCATTTGCTCCCTGGTTTACCTTTCCCCCAGGGAAATTACGTTATTCCCCGAGCAGAAGGGCCCGCTTTGGGGAGGCTTTCGGACAGGCTGGCAGCGGTGGCATCCCCGGTGGTGGGGCAGGGGCAGAAAGAAAGACCTGCCCTTTATTTTCCCCATCACCTCAGCAAAAGAATGGCCCCGGGCTGCTCGCTGGGGCCACCACTGCACCACCTTCAGGCTTCCCTTCAGGCCCCAGCTCTGGGGCTGCCCAGCTCCGCCAGATTCCCAGTGTTCCCCTATGCGCGGGGAGGACCATCCCAGCCGCGGGACGTCCCCTCTCCGGTTGGGTGCTGCAGACCCAGGGGAGCAGCCGGGCTCTCCCTGACCCGGCCCGGGAGCCACCCTCAGGGCGCGTCGCCCCCCCCCCAGTGACAGGAGAAGAGAAGCGGAAAATTGGCTGCCAAAGCCCCAGGCCTGCCGTGGAGAGGCCCTTAACCTCCGGGCCACCTTTGCCCCCTGCTCTCCGGAGCCCCTGGGAGGCCGGGCAGGTGCTGTGTGCGGGGGGGCTGCCTGCGCTCCGGCATCCTCTACCGCTTCTCCTCCCGTTCTTCCCGCTGCTGATTCTACCTGACAAGTGTGTAGGGACGCACACACATCTCTGGTGGTTTCCTGTTTTATTGCCCTGCGAGGGAGCGGGAGGTATCTAAATACAGGCAGCTTCCCTGTTGCAGAGTTCGTCTCCGCGCCTGTGCTAGTGTTTAATAGACAAATACAAGCGCCTATGGAGACATATGCAAAGATATACACAATTTACATTACATTTCAACAACCGAATTGCTCATAGCTGCGGCAGTTTCTCTCTCTCTTTCTATTGCGACCGTTTTTCCTTTTTTAAGATTTGAGTTTGTCCATGTCCGGATGGAAAATTATTCCTACGGCTTTTGTATGGATTTGGGGCTTGGGAGAGAGCCTGAAATCGGAACATATCGTTAGGGGCATTATTTTCATGTTGCATCCGTATGTGCCGATGAGCTGAATGCGTGTTCGGGGAGGGGGTTGAGTGAGCATGGGTGGAGAAGGGATTTTAGAGCCCAGGTTTTGCTGCTGATTTAAACTTCGAAAATCCAGATTAATTCCTTTGGCCTTGGTACAGTTCCCCTCGGGTTGCGAGGGATTTCGTCACTGAGAAAAGACAAAAAGCCTCAGAACATTTGCTTTATATTTGAAATCGGAAAAGTATCAGTAAAAACAGGAATAGAAACGCCTCCAAATTCCAATAGGATCACATTAAATTATCGATTAATTTTTTCCTATCTAAAATACTGCCGTTTCTCAAGTATTGGATTTCACCAACGGCAAACGAAGACACCCTCGATGCTTAAACATTTGATATTAAACACAATCCTAAAATTCCAAGTAACTTCACTCAGATCGACTTTTCCAGCAATTTCTATCTTGAGTAAAACGCATCATGGTTTTACCGGGTTCAAGGGAAAATAGTCCGAGGCTTTATTCTGAGCCTGTTCTCCTGTGTTACACACCCCCCCCCCCCCGGGAAGTTCTCATGACAGACGCTTTCTTTTCATATCAGGCGGTTCCCTCCAGCACTGCATCCGACAGCGAGCACGAAGCAAAATAACAAAACACGGCGACATACAGGGAATAGAAGGCTTCGAAACAATCCTCTCTCTCGAAGGAGGAGCCCGATAGGAAGCATAATCAGCTTCGCCGAAAGCCACCCCACCGCTTTGCCTCCCCATCCCCACCGGGGGCTACACCTCCCCTGGCATGAGTTGTCCCGTTGAAGCTGGGGTGGGAGTCGGCGGCCGGTGTCTGCTGTGGGGATGCAAACCTTACCAGGGAGCACGGGGCTGCGGGCAGAGAGATTTCCCCAAGGACAAAAAAAAAAGGAGCAAACTGAGCTGTCTGTGCGGCAGCAGAGACTCCTTTTCATCCTCCCAAGTGCTCCTGACATCCAAACATTTAATTTTTCCAGGAGAGAAAGAGGTGGGGAATGATGATATTAAATAGTTAAAGGAAGGGAAAAGAAAAAAAAAGGAAAAGGGTCAGTTCTGCGCATCCGCCAAGGTCTTGGCTCTAGCACACAGGACCTCTACGCCCGGAGTGCTCCTCTCGCCTACCCGCCGGCGGAACAAAACCAAATCCGAAGGGTTCCCGGGGTGCCAAGACGGCTGATGGCTTTAGGAGCTGAGTGCTCGCCCCGAGCCACTCCAACCCCGAGGGCTAGAGTCGCCGTCACCCGTCTCCCCACCGCCGAGAGCAGCCGGAGTCATCTCAACCCCTGAGCAGAGGCAGCCCTACCCTGGGGACGTTTCACCTGCGGAGGAAGAGAAGCCGGCAGCGATGGAGGATCGGGGCCGCCGGGAAGCGCTGCCGCCTGTGAAAGGACTCCGTCGTCTTGGAGAAAGTACCACAGCTACCACCGGGTCCCGTCCCTCCGAGCGCCGTTGCCCACAGCACAGACTGCCCGCTTCGTATGGCCGCGCTGGCCCCGGCGGGGACTGCCGGAGGACAGCGGACTGCGGCAGGGTGCACTGCCAGTACCGCGCCGAGGGCCCGGTGTCGCCGCGGGGGCTCGGTCCAAGGGGGAGGCTGCCCCAGCGGCTAGCGCTGTTTTGTCGGGATACAAACGGCCTCGGCCGTTTTCTCCGAAGAGCGCGCAGCTCCATCCTTCAGACCCAGCCCGACCCCCCGGGCTCCGGCAACGAGAGAACCGCTCTCCGATCCGCACACCTTTACCAGAGCCGCCAGGGTATTTAAACAGACACGGGCTGTGGCAGCAGGCACTGCCCGTCCTGCATAGCGAGGCCGCCCTCGCCGGGAAAACCGATCCCATGTCCCTACGGCTCACTGTAACCCGCGCAGCCGCAAACTATACCAGCAGCTCCGCGGCTCCATCCAGGACACGCGTTAAGTAACTCCCCCAGGCGCCCGGACCGACCTGGGAGCCGGCTCCGGCGCTGCCCGTGAGCACGGCAAGGCGGCCCTGGGGAGCCGCTGCCAGCCTGCGGACGAGTGGGAAAGCCGGGATGTGGTCTGTGCTACAGCCTGAAGTCAGCTGCGGGGAAAAGGTCGCTGGGGAAATCCGTGCCCACTCTCAGAAACGACACAAGCGGCAGAGCCAAGTGTTAAACTAAAGTTTATAAATTAAAAAGGAAAAAAAAATACCACCCCAAAAGTACAGCGGGTAGCTTACAAACATTCACAATTCATTCGAAGTAAATAATCTAGTTGAGTGCACAGTGCCATTGAAAGAGAAAGGGAGGGGGTAAAAAAAAAAAAGAAGGGAAAAAAGTAGAAAACAATGAGTTACCTTGAAAGAAAGTGAGTGTAATTACATTGCTGAGCAGATCTGAAATCCCCACCCCTGAAGGAGAGGGCTGCAGAAGAACTCTAAAAGGCACTGATGGTATTAGGATTTCCCATTACATCGATTTCTTAAAAAGCCTGACTAGAAATATTCACATTGAATATAAAAATAATAATAACAATTTTAATACAACTGGAAAGTGCGAAAAATCCATAACTCCTCCCTCCCCGAACACGGAAAGATCTCAGGAAAAAAAAAAAAAGAAAAGAAATCTGGCGTTTCAATGTAAGTCTCACCCTTTGGTGACATATTTTTCCTTTGCCAAGGCTCACGGAGTACAGGAATAACATGGGCAACAAGAGCAGGGGGGATCTGAAAGAGGCTTCCTTACATTCAGCACCATACAAGGCACAATCAGTTTGCAACAAGTTGGAAGACTAAGGACTCAAACAGACGTCAAAAATAATCTTCCTTACAATCCACCGAGGGAGTCCTTGATCTCCTCTTTTGAGCTGCGTTTGGTTTTGCGGGTTGGTTGCTTTTGTTTGAGGTTTTTTTCTCCTCTACTTTTTTTCCTCCTCTCTCTTTGTCCCACACAAGATCGAGTCTCTACCAATCCGAAGTGAAATAAACAAACAAAAAGTTTACACCAAATACACTGACAACATGGATACCATGAATTAGTCGTGCCGAATCGCGCAAGTCCTCAGCTGGCAGGGTGGGGACGGGGTGAGGATCGGGGCGGGGTGGCCCGCGAGTCCTACGTTGGAAGAGGAGAGAGTGAGGAACCATCCAAATAATATTAATAATAAAAATAACAATAAAATAATAATAAATACTGTCCGAGGCACCGAGAGCTGCAGCTGGGGCTCTGGATTTGAGAAGCTGGCTGGCTGGCTGGATGAACAGGCGGATGGAGGGATGGGAGGTGGCAGAAGGGGAGATGGGTTTCCTGGCTGCCAGTGTGTGTGGTGGGGGTGCTGTGGGTTATGTTTGCTTGCCCCTCACTGGGTGCCGGCGGCTGCGGCGCAGGTGGACAGAGCCCACCCCGGCAGGCAGTAGTAAGGATAGTAGTAGGAGGGCTGGAACGAGAGCAGCGAGGGCGGCCGCAGCACCTCGCCGGGGTGGTACTGTCTCTGGTCGTCGCGCACAAGCACCTTGACGGCCACCTTCTTGGCGGCGGGGGCAGCGGCCAGGAGGTCGGCGGCCATCTGCCGTCGCTTGGTCTTGTACCGCCGGTTCTGGAACCAGATCTTCACCTGTGTCTCGGTGAGCTTCAGCGAGGCGGCCAGGTCGGCCCGCTCGGGCCCCGACAGGTACCGCTGGTGGTTGAAACGCCGCTCCAGCTCGAAGACCTGCGCGTGGGAAAAGGCTGCGCGGGAGCGCTTCTTCCGCGGCTTCGGCGCAGCTGCCTCCTCCTCTCCTGGCAACAGATTCCCGCACTTGCCCGCTCCGTCCTCCTCCTCCGGGGGGCTGCGATCTGCAGGCAGGACGAGAGCACGGCGGTCAGGGCAGGCGGGCACTTGGGACACCCGCATCCCCACTCCTCGGCGGGATTGCACCCGCGCAGCCGGGTAGCCTGAGGCGACGGGACGGGCGGGGAGTTGCCCACCGCGTGCCGGGCCAGGGCAGTGGGGGTTTCTCGCTCTTCGTTAAGCGCCGGGCGCCCTCTCTGGCTGGGGGCTAGGCCTAGCAAAGGGCTCTCCCCGATCCTCCCTCCCTCTCCCCGCGGGACGCGTTTCGGGTGCTCTTTCCCCCGGCGCAGCTCGCCGCACAAACCCGCGGGGCCGGTGGAAACTGCCGATCATCTCCCGTTCTCAAATCCCCCTCATACCCTTCTCGGACCCTCCCGCTCCCCTCGCGCGAGTGCGCTGCCGGGACTGCCCCTACCCGAGACGGCGGCCGACATCTCACTGTCACTGAGGCCGGCGGCGTCCCGCTCCGCCGCCTCTGGGGGTTGCGCCTCCTCTGCCACCGCTGGCCGCCCGCTGCCTGTGACTTCGGCGGGGCGGGTGCTGGCACCGGCGCTCTCCTCCTCTGAGCGCCGCTCGCCCTCAGGGTCCTCGCTAAGCGCAGAGTCCGAGTCCCAGCCCGCTGGCGTCCGCGGTGCCGGGACGCGGGGTGCGGGCGATGGGAGAGGCGGGCCCTCGGCGGCTCCGCACAGCCTCCAGCCACCGGCCGGCCCGGGTGGCGGCGGCCGCCCCGCGGCGTGGCGGGCGCGCTCCTCCTTCTTGTTGAGGATGGCCTGGATGGAGAAAGGCGTCAGGGCGTTGCCGCCGCGGACGGCCATGGCCCGGCGGCTGGCGGGCGGCCCCCGCGGGCTTGCAGCGGACCGCGCCGCGCCTTCAGCTGGGCGACCGCATCGCCGGCAGCGGCCGCGACGGTGCCGGGCCCTTCTCTGCCGCCGGGAGGGCGGGCGCCAGCGGGGGCAGCCTGTATGAGCCGCTGCCGGCCCGCCCGCCCATAGGGCCGGGGCCGCCGGGGCCGCCGCTCCGCCGGGCGCCGCCGCCGGTCCCTGCAGGCGCGGGGCTGCCTCCGCCCCGCTCTGTCCCGCCCCGCGCCCGCCCTCTCCTTTTTCTGCCGGCGGCGCTGTCATCGCTCACCGCGCTGACAGCGCCGGCCCCGCGCCTTCCCATTGGGCAGCCTCCGAGCGGCCCGCACGGCGATTGGCTCCCCGCAGCGGGGAGATGCGGCTCCGCGGGGCTCGCGGCGGGGCGCGCCGAGCTTTAACCCCTTGAGGCCCGCGGGACTCCTCCTTGCGCCCCATCCGGGCCCGCATCGCCCCGCGGTGGGAGCGCGTCTTTCCCGGGACCGGCGCAGTGTGCGCGTCGAGGAAGGCGCCCAAACCTCCGGCCGCTCGCCCTGCGGGTGTCAGCGCGCAGGGGCCTCGACTGGTTTTCGAAAACGGGCTTTTCCGCACCTCGCTGATTTAAAAATGGGTTCGGTCTTTTGTCAGGGACGGTCTTGGGTCCCTGAGTCTCTTAAAAACCTTTTTAAGAGGACAATTTATGGCAGGTTCAAGGAAAGCAGACTTTAATTTGCGAGAAGTTGTGCTTCCCCTGAAAGAGAACGGCCCTAAACAGTACGCTTTTGGAAACCGTCACACACGTGTGAACGGTATCGACGCGGCCCGTTACCAAACCGCCGGGTTCCCCAAGCACCTCGGCTCCCCTTGTTTCAGACACTATCTGCATCCTCGGAGCTAATAGGAAAATCCCGGAAAGGGTATCCAGCAGGTACACAGGAAATGAAAAATCAGCGCTTTACCACCGCGCGTTTTTGGTGCTGGGGTGACGCGGCGACATAACGAGCTGGAGAGTATCAGAACGCTGACCCTCAGCCCCCAAAACTCCCCGTTTTTTTCTGGAACCCCATTCCCGGTGCCAACCGGCTGCTTCTCTGGCATGTGTCCCCCACCAGCACATCCCTCCTTGTACACGCAGAGAGGAGCGTCTGTTCTCAGCAGACCGAGAAGCCACCACAACTGATTATCAACGAGTGCGGCACCAAATAAATGTTTTCGGTCATTATTCTTACCAGGAAAATAAATTAACGAAGTAAATAATCTCGCTTTCACAGCGCAGTTGTGTCGGGAAGCCGGAGAGCACCTTTGCGTGGCTGAGCGAGAGCAGGCTTCAACCTTACAAACAATCCAGCCCGTTTTAATAACCCCGCTTGCATTTACTCGTTATCCCTTTTCCCCATCCAGGTATTTCCCGGGAAAGCCAGCGCTTCTGCCACCCAAGACTTCGGTGCCACGGTACACTCAGGAAATATCTTCAGTGTATTTCCTGCAAAACGGAAAATTATTTTAAGAGGTGGAGAAAAGTAAGAGATATCTGGGGAAGCTGCGAGAAATCCGCTTGAGTGGAGATGTGCGGGAGGTGTAGGAAGGGTACCCTGTGCGTGCGTTTTAAGGGGTGCTAAAGAGCCGAGAGGTGAAATCTGGGGAATTGGAGGAGATGCGTGAACTTAGACGTGAAGAGAGGAAGGGCTCCACGCTTCCAAGGGGAAAAGGCTGGAGGTGCGGGTGGTGGGAGCTGTGGTTTGGTCTCCGGGCACGGATGAGGGCAGGAAGTCAGAGCAAGGCCGCTTCTGTGCTAGGGCTCTGCTCAGGTGAGCAGGCAGCCGAGCAGGCGGCCCTTTGGGACAGGGGATGCGGCGGAAGAGGCGCTCTCCCCGGCGCAGCCCCCACCGAGCTCCGGCAGAGGCAGCTTCCAACTCGCGAAATCCCTGATTTACAAGGTTTCGCTCCGAAGCTCTTGGAAATACCTGCGGTTACTTTACAATGGCTGCAATTCTTTGCTAATTTGCCCAGCGCACTCCCTGCCACCCCTTTTTTTTTTTCTTGCTCTCTCCCGCCTCCCGGGGCGATCTCTGCGCCCTCTTCCCGATCAGAAAACTACTGTTCAGGGAAGGAAATGCCTGGGGACGAGGCCGGCAGGAGAGAGAGAGCAGCAGCGGGGGTAAGGCGCAGGGGAGCGGCGGAGGGAGGCCGGGCAGGGCCGGCGGCCCCGGGGCTGTGGCGGCCAGGGGTCAGCTGGGTGGTCCCTCCGCCTCCGCCCTCCAGCCCCTCCGGGGTAGACGAACAGCGGGACGGAGCGGCGGAGGGAGGGATGGGGGAGCGGCGGCCCGGCATTGCTCCCCGCTGCCCACCCGGAGCGGGGCTCGCAGCCGGCGCCCGTCGGCGCTGAGCTGGGGCAACACGGGAGGACAAGGGCCCCGGGCACTGCTTGCGGCGGGCACGGTCACCCCTCCGGGAGTGGCGGGGGCGGGGGTGCAAACGCGGCATTGAAAGGCTCTGGGGGCACGGGAGGAGGCGGCAGGGCGGGCAGGGCAACGCCTGAAATTTTGCAGGCGGAGGCACAGCTTCCACCTTTCCCGCACCCCTGCCGAGGGCTCCGCTCCCGCCATTGCGCGGTTTGGAGGCAGCTGAACCCCACATACCGCGCGGATCCGCCGTGTACACGCGGCAGCGGGGAGCACCCACCCCGCCGTGCCCCACAATCGCAGCCCCTAGAGCCCCGCTGGGAGCCCTGCCGACAGGCCCCCAACCAGCTCCGCATCCCGCGGGGAGCCCCGGCTGCGGCGGGCGGGCTGCCCCACCTAGAGGCGGCCCCGTCGCACTGCCCGGCCTCGGGGCTCCCGGCGGGTTCGAGGCCACATCGAGGGCCGGGGGAGCACAGCGGTGCCCAGGCACAGCCTCAGTGCCCCGTCCTCTATCCAATTACAAACCGTGGTGTGGGCTGGGAGAGCGGGAGCGGAGCCCGCGTGGCTGCAGCGTGAGTGAGAGGGCTTCTTGCAGTCACCAGAGGCGTTTTCTTTCCAGGTGGGGAGAAACTGGCTCACAGAAGCACTGCATATAGTGCAAAGGGTGATGAAACAGGGAAGGATGTGCCCTGCTCACGGGCATCTTATGAAAGTATCAGATAAACATGTGAAAGATGGTACACATGCGACGGTGGCTGCAAAACCTTTAAAAAAACATTTGTAAAGAGCACACAATTTTTATACACCGTATAATGTTATACAAAAAGACCCAGATGGGTTCCCTGGTGGGAGCAGCTTGCACTGGGAAAAGGGAATAGTGCAGCCTTTCCTTCAGGGTAGGATTAACCCAGTATGGGAAATTACTCAGGGAAGAAGGCTCCGTGTGCCAGCTCCCAAGCAGAGCCATGCCAGCTCAGTTCCACTTCTGTCCCGACTGTCTGTCCCTTGAGCTCTCCCTCCTCAGGCCCTGGGCTACCCCATGCTGTTGCTCTCTTGGCAGCACTTCCCAAAGCCTGCAGTGGTGTTCGTAGACAAGAACTCTGCCATAGCCAGTTAGAGGTGGTCTCTTTTTTCCTAGACAGAAGCTGTCTCCCAGACTTGTTCCTAGTTTGCCTCCTGATATACACAGAGGGATGCAAATCATCGCAGTCTCCCACTGTGTCTTCAAGGGGCTTAGGTGGAAGACGGCAAATGATACAAACAATGCTCTCTCCCAGAAGGAATTTCAAACCCCTGTGACAGCTGGTGATGGGGAAGATTTAGTTCATGGCTTTTACCTCGGCTTTGCTCCTCTGGCTGTGAAGCAAGGCACATGAATACGTCCTGGAAAACTTGCTGGTTTTGCAGGAAAACCTCAGGTCGTCTGTACTTGAGCAGGTTTTGACTCCATTCCTTAGGTAATAACAATATATTTCCAAGCAACTGTAACCACAGCTACACAGTAGGTGACAGTTGTGCATCTCTAAAACAAGTTACTAGCAGGATTTCTCCCTCCATTTCACAAGGGACCTCATGTAAGTAACTGCTGTAACACTCAGCCTTCAAGTGGCTTTTTGCTGTTGACATCAGGATCCTGTTTTGCTGCTGAGATGTCAACTCCAAGATGCTTCCAGACTTCAGTGAGAGGGGGATACACCGCCTACAATTGAGAGAAAAATCTGAATGATTTTTAGTACCCAACTGAATATTAAACTCGGAGAATGTGCAAATGTAATACTGACAATGAGAACTTTGGCAGCCTCTTATCAAATTAGTTCAGTAGGTTTTAATAGCTGGTTTGCACTCCCCTTCTCTGCTCATGTTCCTTATTCGGGGAAAAGCCTGTGTCCTTTGAGCTGCAAGGCTCAAACACGGGCATTCTGGTAGGATTTTAGAACCAAACTGAAAGGAACACTTGAATCTTGCTGGCTGTGTATATACAGTGACACAGCTTGGCTCAGTTTTATTGCTCAGAGATGCTATTTCTGGGAAAACCTAGCCAAATCACCTTCTTGTTTCTTGGTCGCTACCAAGTAACCCCAAGTAAGAAGTGAAGGGTCAGCATGCAGAGTACCAACCATGAAAACAAAACTACCAACATCTGACTCACTGCATGGCAGTTTTTCTCTGGAATTATTCCTCCTCGAAAGACCTGAAAAGAAAAGGATGTAAGGGCTCTCCAATCATCACACTCCAAAGAAAGACTGAAGCTGTGCACTTGTTTCTGTTGCATGGCGCCAGGAGGCCATGAGCTGCATTCACACTGAGCCTCGTCCCACAAACACCTTCAGGCCACACCAACTTTGAAATGGATTTTTCTTTTTGCTTCTTTCCTTATTTTCATGCCCAATTTCCTACTACCCCAGTAAATGGCAACATAGTCCTCATCTTCTGATGTATTTATCTGTAGCACAGAAATACAATCTGGACAAGATTAATTTGATTTACTAATGAACAGCAAACCAGCATATCCAAATGGCCAGATGTATTTTATAGTCATTAATTAAAGCTTTTGAATTCTTCTGTGAAAAAATTAGTGTAACATTTAGCCCCTGTATTTAGCTTTTTATCTGTTTCAAGCATTTTTTAAAGGAGAAGGCAGTCTACTAATTTGCACTTTCTGATAGAAAAATGGAAGTAGAAACAGATTGAATG